CACAGAAGTCTAATGGTTAGAGAACTGATAAGAATATGATAGAAACCAAGCCCTGGATTGAGAGATCCTCAAATATTTATGCACTTCTCAGTGTATTCACTCCACCAGAAGTTCACTTTGCTGTTCATACCTGACACCAAACTAAACCAATATTATCTAACTTGCCAGAAAACAGAAATAAAGCAACATAATCCCAAAGTATAGATGGTCTTCAAATTAAGGCATGTGATAGGGGCAGAGGGCACACTTCAGAAGAACTTGCATTCTCTATGATCTCACAAACTACAAAACTATGAAAACAAAAATTCCCTGAAGACTCCACCTTAACACCACATCAAGAGAAGAAAACTCATTGTGACTCTGCATAGGAAGTAAAATAGATCATTCTTGATAAAGTGGTTGTAACATGCACAGAAATCAATATCAGACTTGCCTATGATCAGCTTCATTTCCTATCAAAAACACAAACAGTAACACAGAATTAAATCCACACTTCCAGACTGCAAAGAACAACCAAATCATGTCTTTTCTGCAAGAGACACCCTGAAAGTCTTTTAGTGAATAGGAAAAGGTTGTTTCACCAGCCTCCCCAAATGGGGAAGCTGGTGAAACAACCTTTTCCTATTCACATCTGATCTCAATGTACGAAGTGTACAGATAGGAGGGTGCTTATAATTTGTCTAATGTGATAACCTACAACTTCAATGTAGCTTCAATAAACAACTGCAAAAGGTGGAAGCAGTGATGGTAAATTCAAAACCTGTAGATATTTGAAGGTGTTCCTCCAGCAGGGCTGCACTGCTCCCACAGCAGGGCTGCACTGCCCGGGAGCTCCCACTGCAGGGCTGCACTGCACTGTGAGGGCTCCGACTGGTGAGGTGGGAGCAGGAGGGCAGGACTCAGTGATAAGACTCTGTGCTCTCAGCCTTAAAATAGACAAATGCAAATGAAAGCATGCCCAGGTCACCTCCCCTGCCATTTACCATAGAGCCCACAGTGATGGCCATCACTTTCTCACAGTGATTTGTAAAACTGGGATTTTTAGGAACAAAGCTTTAGCCACCAGGTTTCACAAATCTTTCTCTGTGTCTCTACAAATAAATTTCAGAAGTTAGATAAGGGTTTATAACCACAAAGTCCCTTTTTCTAATGTCAACCTTGAGATAAAGAATATTGTTATCAGAAAGAGGTATCAAAAGACAAGACAATGGAGAAGTGATGAATGTTTAAGGAGCTCATGGCTTGTACTTTTACTTAACCAAGTGTGTATCTATAAATATATTTCAAAGTTGCTATTGCCAAAATAATTGTAAAATTTAAGAAGAAACACATTAGTCTAACACAGCTATTTTTTGAAACCAAGGAGAGCTCTTCCTTTGTAATGATCTGTATCAGTGTTAGTTTGCTCTTGAAATTCATCATAAATGACATGCTTTATGACACATGCTTGAATTAGAAGAACCAGATAAAAACCCAAGGAGTTTTATTTGTTGTGAGTATTGTTTTTTAAGAACACACATCCAAGCCAATTAAAATTAAATAATTCACCTTGTGATACTTCTCTTCTAACAGCTTACAGGTAATCTTTGCCCTGAATCGAAGCAGCAAATTCAGACAACTGCAGTCTGAAGTTCATTCTTATGTACAAACACAGCAAGGTTGCCTTTTCCCTCAGAATGTCTCCTATACATGGAACCCAGTGTAGTCCAAATGTCATGGCTTGAGCCACTTTTATCTCAAATGATACTGGTACAACACTCACTCAGCCATCCAAATGAATGGGTTCACATCATGAAACTCCTTCATAAAAGGTCCATTCCTGTCACATTTATGCAGGATGCTCTGTTGAAGTCATGAAACTGAATTATCTGATGCAATTAATTTAACTCTGTTCAGGAAAAGGGCAATTTGTGTATTCAGTAATCATCGTGCTTGGGATATTTTTACAATGCATTCCTCCACTCTGTGCTCAATTCTACCCTAAGCTGCTTATGCAGATATTAAACAGAACATGTGATTCACTTGTGCATCTTTATTCTTTTAAAACATCTGATAAAGACAAGGAATAGCTCAATTTGCCCCTGTGGAATTTCACCAACTGACCCTTATTCCTAGAGCCAGGAATAATATTGGCAAATTATCTGGTTCCAGATATATTTTATTAAGTGACATAGCTTCTCTTAGTTGTGAACTTCCATTACATAAGATGGCCAGAGAGCAAAACCTCTGCCACCCAAGGATTTTTTTTCTAGATGTACTGTCTTCACCATAAGAAAAATTCCCCTTGGAATTTGTTACTATGACGATGTATAGCTCTGGAGATCTGACTATGGTGGAATGGATTTACATTTTCTACCCCTACTGAAGTCTTTGTACACATGAGAAAGCAATCACTTACACATGGGATTACTGGTTTCTTCCAAATGCACAGGGAATATTCAACTCATTGAGAATATATTGGAAATTTATTCAGAAAATTACCATGTAACTGTCAATCCAGAATTAATTCAGAAGTCACTGATAGGCTAGACCAGCTTCATGTTGACGTTTCACCAGTCATTAGCAGCAGAATGAATAAATATTTTAGAATACTATGGGGATATTAAGTTTTATTTAAACGTGGAAATGCTGAAAGATAGCCAAGTAGAAGTAACAGTGAGACCACAATTTCTTCATATAAAACCTGGCCTTTGCTGTATTTGCAAGGCATTTGCTCCTTCAACCACACAAGCTTTTTGTTTTATGATGCAGTCATTACAAGGAAGACTCCAAAGCACTTGGCACCACAAGCAGTGCAGCAGCAGCTCAGACATCCCATGGGCTCCAAGGAGAAAAACCTTCCCTTCCAGTTTTGGGACTCACTGGTCAGTGTTTCAGTAGACTCCTCCTTCTCCCTTGCCCAGCTACACTGGGCAGTGCTGAAAGCAGGTAGTGACTGAAACCCACTTCTTAAATCCCATACTGTCTGGCACCTGCCAGTAGTCCTCTCTTCTCCCACGCAAGAAAACAGGCTGTGAGGTTCTGGACACACACCCCACTGAAGAGGGCAGCACAACCTCTGCCCAAGGTCTGTGACTCTGCAGGCATCCTTTGCCACATACAGCAAGCAAGGAGCAGCAGAGGGCACAGGGCTGTGCAGGATGAGGGCAGGGGAGCAGTGGGCACAGGGCTGTGCAGGAGGAGGACAGAGGAGCAGTGGGCACAGCTGTGCAGGATGAGGACAGAGGAGCAGTGAGCACAGAGCTGTACAGGATGAAGACAGGGGAGCAGGGGAGCAGTAGGCACAGCTGTGCAGGACACAGTGTAGCTTTGCCCCTGTGCGCTCTCTGACACCCAGACAGGGTGTCTCTAAGGGTTCATCCCTGCAAGGACTGCCCACAGCAGTGCTGCTGCATTGCTTCCTTCAGCCTAGCCTAGAAGAGCTGCCCATGTCATTGCTCCTGCTGCCAACATCTGCCACCAAATTACACAGTGGTTCTGGCAAACCCAGCCCACTGAGTCAACAGTCACTTCACCCATAAAAAAATGGGAGTCCTCTGGCTTTCAACTGCATGTGTATGCTAGATTTTTTTGTTTGTGGGGATTAGAAGGGATCAAAATCTCTTAATTTCTATGTCAGATGTGCATTGCACTTCTACTCAATGAGAATTTATCAATAAATCTGGATAAGCGTGATTAAAATACCCTTTAAAAGGCAGCAGTAACAATAAAGCAAGGGCCAGAAAACATGCTTTGTTCAAATGCACAAATTAGTTTTAATCCATTACCTAAATTATTTATCTGTCCTTCTGCCAAGTACAGTAGTAAGGGGTACTTCCACAGGTGGTGCTAGGGACAGCGTTTGCCCAGCACCCCCCGGAGCACCAGGACAGCCGAGCTGCACCGCCTCGGCACCCCGCACCCCTGGTCACGCTCTGATTTCCAGAATAAAATCCAGGGGCCAGGGGCATCCCCGGCCACCGGGGCGATCCCCCGACACACCAGCGGGCGCAGGGTCTCCATTGCCAGCGCCGTGCCGGGATCGCCGTTACCGCGGCAACGGCGCGGCCGAGCCCGCGGCCCCGTGAGGCGGCAGCGCCGGCCCGGCCCGGCCCGCGCGTTGCCGGGAGACGCGCCGTCACCACGGCGACCATCACGCTGCCCTCCCGGCGCTGCCCTCCCTCCCGCCAGCCCCAACACTAACGCGGAAAAATAACAAGAAGCACCCGAGCCGCCAAGGGAGCCGTCAGCGCCACCGCGCAGTCCCGGCGCTGCTGCGGCCGGCTCAGCACACCTTCCCAGTCCTGAGGGGGAAGCACGGGCCATGAACCGCAATCCCGGCCCTTCCCGGCATCGAGGAAAACGCAGTTTGCCAGCCTCAGCACCTGCTTTCCTGCTTTGCGGATGGCAGCCATAGATCATGTCTCTTTGCTAACACTGGTCGTAAATGAATGCCAGATCAAAAAACCCCCACAAAATGAACAGAAAAACACCACCTCATGTCTGTTTCACCGAAGCAAAGGAGAAAATCCAGGCTAATCCTAAGGGGCACCACAAGCGCCCATCCACCACCAAGCGCTGGTCAAGGCACCTGGGCACCAGCTCAACCCGGTGGACATCCTGGAGCTGCACAGGCAACATCAGCCTCGGCTCTCCCAGGAGAAGAATGAGCCCATCTCCTCTGAGAGAGGGAGGGAATCGGGCTTTCACCAAAGGGGATAAGTGTGCACTTCAGAGCTCTCCATTTGCTCATCTGCATTTTTATTTCAGGCGCTCCTCTGCCAAAGGGCTGTTGCAGGCAGCCCGCAGGCTCTGCTCAGGAACGCTGATGCCAGCAGGGCCATGAGCCGGTAAAAGGTGCCCCGGACACGCTGAAGGGGCCAGGCCGGACCGGCGCTCCCGGGCGTCCCGCACTCGCACATTCCAAACTGCAGCGCTTGATTACATTAGTGTCTTACCCAAGAATCATACTCAACACGGCAGGAAAACATTTAGAATTGTAAAATGCATCTAGTTCTTACCTTTGATATGCCTGAGGAGATGTGGGAGGTGTATTGAACACATGCGAGTATGGGTGATAGGGTGTCTTTTTCAAAGCCTGAATAAGATTTTGTCTATATTCTGGGTCTATACACCACAAGGACCCCTTTCCAATACTCTGCAAAGAGAAAAGAATTAAAAAAAAAAATCAAATATTTGATCTAATGGCACAGCCATATTTATTTAGCAGTTTTTGTCAGGAAAAGCAGTGACTTTGGGTTTTTTGTCTGACAGAAGTGAATATAACTTGCTTGCCAGAGATTATTGCTCCATTAATAATGTATTATGACTGTATGATTTAAATCACAATTCTGAGGGGAAAAAAAGAATGAATGTTTGGTCGCTCTTTCTCCCCCTCTCTCTTGTTACTAGTTAATAGGATTTAATAATATCTGACAATTTTCCAATCACCTCATATTGGAAAAATAAGAAGCTACAGTTAACCGTTAAACAGAAACTTTGAAAATAAGTATCTTGGTTTTTGAAGTAGTTTTCTTTTCCTTTTGCTGTTATACAAACAGAAACAAGGCTAAAAAGGAGAGGGTTAAACACCCTAGCAACTGTTTTAAAAATATAAGGACTTAATCCTCCAACCCACATGACATCAATACCATTATACTACAAGAGGAAATTAATCATCTTTTCTCCCCAGAGGGGAAAAAATACCAAAAAAACCCAAAACAAACCAACGAACCAAAACTAAAACAAACAAAAAAAAACCAAAATAAAACCACCCCACAGTATAATCAGAGTATAACCATTTAAGTGTGTTGTGAAATTGTGATCAGCTAAAACAACAGTTACTGTAATTACCCTTTCTGGACTCAAGGAACAACACCAGCAGTTAATCTGTAAAGTAAAGATTACACTAAAATTCAGTGTTTATTCTGCAGTTACAAGCAGTGCAATTTCATTTCTTGTCTCAATCCCATCAGAGGTCAAGCTGAGGATTTTGGATTGTTTTGTGTGAGTTCTTAAACAAACATGAAAACTGCCTCAGCTTCACTATGAAAGCATATGGAATGATGGTTCAGGAGCAGTCTTGCTCTGCTTGATCATACATAAACACAAACACAAATCCTAACTGTTGACTGAACTCAACTGACAGGCATTCAAGGCATTATGCTACAATTTTTTGGTAAATGTTGATGCTTTCTGGACCAGGTGGGGGAGGCTGTGTTACTGCCTCTAGCTGCTTTTCAACTCAGGACCATCCCTCTCCTCTGCTTCAACTTCTATCAGTGAAACAAAGCTCTCCGTTAACATGTTACAGAACAAGCACACACACAGACACAGACAGAATCACATCAGAAGAAGGACATTCTTTTCTTAAACCATATAGAAGACCAAAACCAGACACCTGTTTCCTTTTGAAAACTTGTATCCTTGCCCCACCACTTCCTAAGTGCTCCTCTGCCCCACAGACAGCTTTAGGATACACAGCGCAACATGTCAAGTGCTTACAGAGAGCAAATGTGCACTAAATTCTCCTCCCCAAAAATAAATGAAAAATAAATGAAAAACGAAAGTCATCCCCAATGTCCCTGGATGGGTTTGTGTGCACCTAGAAAGTTTCCAGCACCATGTGAGACTTGGCTTTAAAGAAAAGGAGAGCAGCCAGCAGGAGCTGTGACAATCTTCTGTCAGAGAGAAGCAGGGCTGCAGGCTGCTCTGGTGGAACAGGAGCATGGGGTCAAGACTCTTCAGGATGGCTTGCAGGGTTCAAGCATATCCATCATTTTACTGCCCACAGGTAACCTACTAGGAGGCCACAGAGGCCACACTAGGAGCTGAAAGATGTCTAAGGGGAGACATCTTCCAGCACTTGAAATGAAGCAAGGTTCTAATATGGCCACAAAAGCCCAAGACTAAAGGGCTAGAGAGAAGCAAGCAAGCCTCTGTGGCTCTGATCTCAGCAAAGCACTACAGCCAACAGCTGAGAGATCCAGTGCTGTCAGTTGAGGAAGCTGTGCACCACAGTCCTCACACCACTCTGCAAGGAGGAGGTTGTTATGCTTAGCCCTCCTAAAATATGGGACAATGAGCCAGACACATGACAAGGCCAGTAAGTGATTCTTAGGCAAAGGATAGAGTCAAAAATAGAATTCAAACATCCCAAATTCCACTTCCATGCTCTATCCAAGACCCAGACTAAGAACATAAAATTTCCTTTTAAACAAGCAATGAGCAAAACGAGGAAAATTTTTCAGGAGAAAACCTTTGCTGGATTCCTTACTTCTTACAGCATGGGATAAGCTTATAAAAAAAGCTACAATTAAATACCAACTACCTTATTTGTACTTACTGGAACACAACATATTGTTTCCAAACTTCTCTGTTTTTTCATTTACTTCCAAGACAGCCTTGTCACCTACCTGGAAGATATTACTCCCCAAAACCCATCAGTCAGTTTAAGCTGAGGGCCTTACAATATGAAGTCACTACTGAAGAGTGACTTCAAAACCTTTCATTACTGTTAAGATAAGTTTGTGTGGTTTGCTCATATTCTTCCAAAAGCCAAAAATAATCTCACTGAAAAACAGGAACTCTGACAAAAAATATTGAGAAGTACACTCCTCGTTAAAAAAACCACTGGCAAGGCAGATTTGCTATATTTTCTCTGCAACTGAACTGACTTATAATTTACCAGCAAAAACAAATGTAATTTAAGGCAAAGCTTGCCAACTTTGCAATGTTCTCTTTTAAGACAGTTACTTTTGTTTTTCCACAATCACATAACAGAGCATGAATAAAAAGGAAAACTGAAGTGACATCTGGTTAAGAAACCTTCTTGACTGTTGGGAGGTGTGAAGAGCTTTGTTAACTGTCTGTTCAGATGTGTCATTAGTCTTCCCATGTACAGAGCAATCACGGGAAAGGAAATCACTGGAGCTCAGCCCCGTCGGTAGTGATTAATTTCCATCTTATGACACTTGGCGTGCTGCTTCACTACCTCCTCCAAGCCAAAAGTCAATAGTGACTCCAATCAAAAACCAGCAAGGAAGGGTCAAAAAAACCAACTCTGGATTACATTTGTCTCCCAGGCAACAAGTGACTGAGGAGTGGATAACAGCCCCCTGATACCTTCAGCACTTGGAGTGCTTTCAGACCTCCCCACATGCCACCTCCTCCCAGAGCCAGGCACAGCCACCTCCTTCCTGCCAAACACAGGTTACAGCTTCTGCACTGATTCCTGGTTAACGTGATTAAAAATGGGGAATGTTATTACAAGTCCTCTTCATGTCCAAGAGTAAACTATACTTGAGGGTAAACTATTTCAGAGGTGCTAATAGGGAGAGTGAGAAACATACAGAGTTACCCAATGAAATATCCTGACTGAATATTTAAAAAAAAAATCCTGATTATCTTCTATTTGGAGAAATTGCTACTCCTTTTTACATCACTTAACATATATATGTAGATTGTGCACAATACTGTGTACTAACTTGCAACTTATTAACAAATTTGCTCTCTCATACCTCAAATATCCTATTCTGATTCCCTCCCAGCAACTGAAGTCAGTGTACTGCCATGAAAAGGTACACAATACACTCAATGTTCACTTGTTTTTTCTTCTAATGGACTGCACATAGAAGTTTTTAAATACTACTTTACACAACCTATTATTGTTATTGTGTTTGGTCATTTTTTAGTAGCATTGAAAAAAGACTGAAATTTTAAAATAATTAAAATGCTGCTTGTCAGCTCTTTCAATTCCTATAGTTGGGAATTAATAGCATTATCCACTAGTAAAACTCCTCATTGTAAAGATTTTGCCTGCATATACCTCACAACTACCTGTCCTCACACATCAGCTACTGCCTGCCCAAAGCTCAACTAAAAGAATTGTGTGTTGAGCTCTTTCTGAGACCAGTGGCTGGGAAAAAGTACACAACCCATTGTATTGGTTTTGCTTGGTCAGATTTTGGTACTGCAGGGGCTACATCCATCTATATAAAAATTCCAGATAGTGTTCATTTGAAGAATTTTGTTCCCTGGTTATTTTAGCACATAGCTGAAATGTGTTAGGAACACAACCTTTTTCACAGAGCTGTTCTTTTCACTGCCATAAAAACAAGTCTGGCCAAAACAAAGCTTTGGGAAGAGAGCAGATACAGAAACCACAAAATACGGGCTCAGGGAGATGTTGGCATTTCCAAATCTTCCCTTCTGAAGCTCTGGTAACATCTTCACTTTGAATCTGCCTGGAGGAGCAGCTCCAGGTACCCATGTCTCTTGCATCACCACCAAGATGGTCCCCAAGGGAACAGAACCTTAAGGGAAACCTGCCAAAAGGGAGATTTTTTTTTTTCCTCTGTGATGCCTCGCATGTGCCTGGGCCTTCTTCCATAAGCCCATTTCAGACATTTTCCTCAAAGAAAACTCTTTTTCTCACACAATTTGATGTAAGTTACATTCATTAAGCTGGCTCACATGAAGGGTGTGACAAGCATCCAGAGAGCTGTGGCAAAGCAGAGGAGGGATGTGGGGACACAGGGAGGGGAATGGGAACTGCTCCCTTCTGCAGCAGGAGCCCTGGTGACATCCTGATGCACCTTGTGAAACAGCACACTGAAAAAGGAAAAGCAGGACTCTGGCTGGACAGAAAGCAGCTTGTAAGACAAATAGCAAAAGCAGTATGACACAAAGCAGAGGTGCAGGGGCTGGGCTGAGCTGGGCAGCAAGGATTGCAGACAGCCCTGAGGGAAAGGCCAGGCTGCGCATGGGAAAGCAGGGACACCGAGAGCCTGGGCACCAACACAGGTGCCTGGAGGCTGGGAGGAGAGGAACCAAAACAAGACACCCACAAGTGACTCCAGAGCTCTGCTCACACACCTAAACTATGCCAGCAGGCTGAGAATTTTAACACAGCTCTGAGTTAAGGACCTTGCTACTCCCAAACAACAGCTGCCCACTGAGCAGATCTGTACTTTACTTCTCCACTATCAGATCCGGAGGGGATGAGTGGCCAAGGCTAGGCTTTCTTGAACCAAAATGATCAGCACTATGAACCAGGCAGCTACACAGGCTGAAGGGGTGCAGATATACACCATCTCAAAAGTAAGTCACATTGGCTTCAGTAACCATAAAAGCAAAGAGAAAAAGCAGAAATTTCCT